TGCATTGATTAACTACACTTAGCTTCTCCTCCTTATGAATCCACCCCAATGGATAGGGCTTCAGATGCCTGACCATCTTCAGACCCAGCTTCTGAACCAAGGCTTCAGATATCAAATTCTTCTCGCTACCCGAATCAACAATGGCATCAACCAAACTGGTCTTCACTTGTAATTTAAGCACAAAGAGCTGCTCCCTCGGGTCGTCATCTTCTTTAGTAGCCTGCTTCCCCGCCATAAGGTTAAAAGAGCTGCTCCCTCGGGTCGTCATCTTCTTTAGTAGCCTGCTTCCCCGCCATAAGGTTAAGACTGCTATTGGGTTCCGTCATCCCCGGAACTTCTTTCGGACCTTGAGCTATCACATACGCCTTTTTCTCCTCCTTCTTCTTCAACCCCTTGGTTTGAGATGAGGATACTTCTCCTAGCACCGATCAGCTATGTGCCCTGTCTTCTCACAATGACCACAAATTAGTCCTGTTTTCCCTGGATCACCCTTCTTCTTCTCCTCCTTAAACTGAGAACCACTAGACTCGCCTCCAACTTGCTTTGCACCCCCCTTTGCTTCATTGCTCTTCTTTTGCTTGCCCTCTATGGCAATGGCCTTCACGCTCGCCTCTGTAATAGTCTCGACCGTGAATAACCTCATCTCCTTTCGGATGTAATCGCTCAATCCCGCCATATACTTCATGAACACGGAATATTCCTCTGTCGCAACGTTAAGAACCATTGCCTGCTGCTGGAACTCCGTAGTGTATTCTTGAACGGTTTGATTGACCCTTTGGCGTAAGCCATACCACTTGTACCAACGCTCCTCAAGGAATCCCACCGGATAGAACTGTTTCCTAGTAGCTCCTTGAACTTGTTCCACGACACCGCCTTCTTCTCCTACTTACAATAGGATTTCCACCACGTCAACGCGTATCCTGATAGCTTCAAAGTCGCGAACACAATCTTCTCTTTTGACAAATAGCCATAAAGAGTAAAATACGTCTCCATCCACTCGATCCAGTCATCAAGCCTCTCGATGTCAACACTCCCATCATAAATAGGAATCTCCACTCTGAAATCAATCTTCAGATTCTGGTAAGAATTCTTACCCCCTTGATGCGGTGCAGCCTTGATGGTCTCGTCCTCCTCGTTGGAGCCTGAAAGCTCGCTCTCTCCACCGGACTCTATAGGTTTCTTCTTAGACCTAGAAGAAGATTCCCCCTTTTTGTTCCCTCCTTGGATGAGACCGACGAGTTTTGTGAGCGTCGACCCTATCGTCTCGATCTGCTTCTCTAATGCATCAATCCTTATTGAATTATCTCCTTCAGCCATCTTCTCCTTCCTTAAATCCTAGACTCCTTCCAATGAAATAAGGATCTCGCCAAGCTTCTTGTATTAGGACCGAGTAAGGACCATACACAGGATGCCCCTTCATTGGATCTGATGCTCTGATACTAACTTGATACGAGTTGCCGTGCGAGCACCCTCTGGTCGCGAAATTACCAAAAGATGGGTTGAGAAGAGGATGACCAAAACACATGAACAATTCAGTATGGCGAAAGAAATTACCTTCTCTAGATTATGAGTATGAAAAAATTACAATCTCTCTCTCACAATCTCACTAGAATCGAGAACAACCTCTCAACTCTCTCTCTAAACCCTAATATAATTATTATTAGAATTTCTTTCTTCCTAAGGTCTCCCTTTTGAAACCCTACAATAACCTATTTATATCAGGTACAACGTGGGTGGCAATTTTGTAAATAAATAAGCCCAAAAGAAAGAGGAGTCCCTGTCAGAACAGAATCCAAAACGAAATAGGAAACCTAGAATTCACGATCCGGTCGATCGCCAAGCATGGTCCGGTTGACCGGCCAGAGAACTTTCTGTTCCCTGTGCCCTGCAGGGTTGTCCGGTCGACCGACATATGTGCCGTAGTCGACCAGACAGAGAACTGCCAGTTTACCCTATTCTTCTGCATTTCGCTTCTTCCGACTTCTTTCGCCGTCTTCTTTGGCTCCAACCAAGACTCTATTCTCAAGATACCATGATAATCATCTATCCTCAAGATCCCATGAGGACCACTAAGCTCCCAAGACAGGGAAGAAGATACACCCGTATCACATTCCCTGTGTACGCAAGGGTGGGGTTTGGATTGCCGATGTAAATTTGATCATAGCCAAATTGCTAAGAAAAGCGATAATGTTGATATGGTTTAATAAAGCATTTTCTTCCTTGTCGGAAAATAAGATAGCCCGGACGAATGTTTATAAGCCACCAGAAGGTGCCTCTACTGAGTGTAGTACAAGAGTTCCGCCCCAGAGTGTCTTGATAGATCTCTCCATACGCACCACCTTCGAAAACAGGAAACTTGCAAACGATCTCGTAATTATAATCCCGCCTAAATTTTTCATGGAATTTGACCTGATACCAACCAACCCATCGGGCGGTCTCCAATTGTTGGATGAGAGGAGCCGAAGTATCGTGTGATTCAGGGGTCGACATTATCGAAGGACAATGTAACACAAACCAGGATACCAAATAAATATATGGCATCGGCACCCGAGGGGTTGGGGTTTGAATGATTGTTTTCCCATCTGATTCCAATTTCTTGACGATAATAAACTCAGAGGCTAGTTCCCATAGACCACTCTGCAAGCAACATATCATGGCTGAAAGGAGATTTAGAGGCCGTCCATGAGCCAGGAGAATAGCTGGGTATGATACTTCTACTGTAATAGCGTCTACCGGCCTAGTGGGTACCACACAATGTTTCAACCAAAGAGTAAGGAAACCATCGAACAAAGCCATGTCGGAGATTGGGATTTCTACCTGATAATGGAAGCTTTCGAATGTGGTGAAAGCTGGAAAGACGTCTTCCTCTACCTCACAAGTATAGTGGGTGGTTGCATTATTGATACGCTCATTGATTTCGTTAATAGTACTGGCAGCTAAGCGAGTCACCTCGGTGTCTTTGTCCCACAGATTTCTAAAAAGATACTCTGCCCATTGTCCTTGTTTCACACCATTGGCCCTTTTCTCGGTAGTTTGTGCACATATCTGGAATGACACATCAATTCCCAGTAAGTGCCATATATTTCCGGAGCACCATGTTTCAGGATCTCTAACTCCCTCTTTCCGGGAACAAACTCCTCATAAGGCAGCTCTCCAAAAGACAATCCGGAGATCTCAAACATCTCATAAAGAGCGAAACCTAATTCACCAGCAGTAGTGAAAAAGCTACCGGTGTGAGGATTGTAAAATTCCAGCATAGCAAAAAGTCCACTATAATTTGGAGAAATCCCATATCGAGTGGCTATTATTGGAGTTCTCAACTCTGAAACCCTCAAAGGTTCTTTTAGCTCCTCCAAGACAAAATTTATCATTCGGGCCCACCAGTCTGTCTCACTTGAATGTACCCATGTCGGAGCCCTGAAATCTTGAGTGGGGAACTCTCCCTTGATGGAGATAAATTTTCTAATGAAGAGCTCCGCTAGCTTAGCAGGTTCACCGACAGGATGTTCCTTTTTGAATGAACCCGGCTTCAAGGCCACAAAATGATTAAAACCAGCCGGATGAGTGCCCCGAGGAGTGATGTGCCCAGTAGCAATGCCTCCTTGGTCCTGAACGAGTTCCCAATCCATTGATCGCGGGATAGAAGCGCACTGATAATAAGAAATCGGCCACATTCGCTCTAAGTTGGGAAGGAAAAGGCGACGGTTGTTGACGGCCCTCAGCCATTTGTAGTTTCCCTCAAACATCCTCTTGGGGTCCATTTTAACGGAATCCCCAAAAAGAAGGACGGTTTCTTTAAAATCTCATGTTCTGTGGTTTCAAATTTAGCATCCGTAACCAAGGACCTGAGAGTCTCGGGGAAAACTTGAGTGATGAGTTTCGCCTGCTCTTTGTTGGTGTCCTGGAATATTGGATACTCTAAGTGAAAGCTGAAAATTGTATTCTTCTCCGCACCTCCCGCATGACCGAAGTAGTGGTTGAAAGAAAGAGGCTCATTGGAGTAGCACACTAGAAATGAAAAAGAAAACTAGTCAGTTGAACGAGGGAGTCTAACTCAAGAACGCAAGGTCTAGACTCGCGTCCAAATTCCTAAATGCAAGGACCAGACCCGCATCCAAATTCCTAAACGCAAGGACTAGACCCGCATCTAAATTCCTAAACGTAAGGACCAGACCCGCATTTAAATTCCTAAACGTAGGGTCCATGCCCGCATACAGAACGCTAAAACGTAGGGTTTCGACCCGCATTCAAAATTCAAAACGCAGGGTCTGAACCTGCGTTAAAATATCATGAACGACGGAGCTAACCATGCGTTCTAAAACCGAGAAACACTGGGGATTATCTCTATGTTCTAATGGTGAAATGCAAACCACCAATCAAGATTGAGGATAAGGAATCTGTCAAAACAACTTACGATTGCCCAAACTTACCGTTAATCGAGGAAATATGAGATGACGGCGCGGCGGTTTGAACATCCCTGGAGGTTTTAGCCGAAGGAGCATCCTGAGCTTGGGCGATCTTCGATTTAGAAGCAATTTTCTTCTTGGGAGCCATTCTAATCGTAGCGCAGAACCTGAGCTTGGGCGATCTTCGATTTAGAAGCAATTTTCTTCTTGGGAGCCATTCTAATCGTAGCGCAGAAGATATAGAATGGTTGATGAATTTAGAAGCAATTTTCTTCTTGGGAGCCATTCTAATCGTAGCGCAGAAGATATAGAATGGTTGATGAAGAATTTAAGAACGAATTTTTTCTTTGTTGAAGCGCCGAAGAAGATGAACAGGAACCCTGTTAAGTGGTCGACAGAAGAGTAAGAAAGAGAAAAGTCGAATGACTTTTTGATTTGACCTCAGTGATCCATTTATATACAGCTGTAGCCGTCAAGTCAGTGTGGGATTCTAGGTAAAATCTCACCCGAAACGTGATTTTCGCGTTTTCAAATAAGGGATTTCAACCTCTGAACGCATCCTCGCATTCAGACGGTCAAACGCATGATTTAGCCATGTGTTTTCGTGCTCGGACTCAGTCATTTGCACTACTCATCCTTTTCGAATGGCTTAACATTCCAACAAAGAGTAATACCGATATTGTTAAAATCATTACCCCAATTGAGCTGATTAAGAAAGGAGATAAAGTGGGTTCCTTTGAGACTGCCTTCTTGGCCAAACTTGGGATAAGGCCCTTCTCATACGGGCTTGTGGTTCTCTTTATCTATGACAATGGATCTGTCTTCAGCCCAGAGGTGCTCAACCTCACTGAGGATGACCTCGTTGACAAGTTCGCAGCTGGTGTTTCTATGGTTACTTCGCTGTCCTTGGCCCTCTCTTACCCAACTCTTGTAGCCGCACCTCACATGTTCATTAATTCCTACAAGAATTTTCTGGACAACTGAATGCACCTCATCGTAGATCGAGTGGAGTATCTTAAAGACCCGAACAAATTCATTGTCATCATTACTCTTGTTTGGTTTGTTAGTAATGACTTGGGCTTTAGCTTGTTTGACTAAGTTTATTGTCATCAAGACGCAAAAGTTACCTTCCAGACAACTAGGTTCATGATGTCTTCGAGGCAGACGAAGTAAGCAATCAGTCAACAAAATTTTGGGATCCAAAGTATTCCGAAAATTTATCCCAGTCAACCGCAAACTTTCGAAAACTTTAGAGGGGGTTCTGTAGGCTGTCTAAAAATCACAATAGATAGTTCACCCCTATCAGACTTCAACCGACAGTTTTGACTAAGAAGGTCACAATCAGACGACTTTCATGTCAACTAAGAAGGGATTACAAGGCAACAATTTCTTCAAATCGAGGTGCGAAACTCATCCCTACATCCCAGAGATTGAGATACAAGTGATTACGTTCCAAAGTCAAAGCAACGCGATCACTACATCTTTAGCTGTCAATGCAGCTCAAACACAGCGCAGACGCAGCACAAATGCAGCTCTAACGCACCGCGTTCACAGCCACTGAACGCAGCACAAACACGGTACCAATTCAACCGTGGACGCAACTCAAGCTCAGACGCTGACGCATCATCCATAAGTATACGCAGGTTTATGCCCAGCAACGCAAAACTTGTGTTTGACCTGTTCAAACCTAATTGTAGCAATCCCGAGACTACTCTTCACCCATGATTTGGGGAGTGGTTTACGTGGGTTGTTATACCCGATTAATGGGACGCCTAAACCCTTATTTAGGTGCGGATTATGGGGGTAATTACACCCCTAATATCCCTATAAATATCAACAAACTCAACAGAGTTCAGGATTAGATTTTTTTTGAGATCAGATCATCCACAAGATCAGCTAAAGGGAGATTCTGGGCAATAAGAAGATCTTGAAGCGTTCTTCAACAATCAAGAATTCAAACACTTGGCATATTAACCGATTATTCGGTTCAAACAACTCTTTTTACAGAGTTTGACACTCGTTCTGAGTTACAAAACTCGTGAAGGGTCCTCCAATTGTTCCAGTGAAACAAGACATTCGGATCGTTAACGGACAGAAAATTCAACGCGAGCATTCGAAGAAGGCACTCCATCGCTACTGTGAAGAACCCAGAATTAAACAAAGGGGAGAATCCAGATCATTCTCCTCTCTCCAGAATTAAACAAAGGGGAGAATCCAGATCATTCTCCTCTCTTTTGTAATCAGAATTCAAATTGTAATTAAGATCGAGAGAATACAAATCAAATTTCTTTCATTTTATTTACTACAAATTTTCCACCAAACACCCCTCTTATGCAAAGTTCTTGAAAGACTTATGCACTAAGAAAAGAACCACCAATGTACCCAAGAAAGTCTTCTTAGCTGCCAACCTTAGTGAAATTTTTTCGAAACCCATGCCGTTAAAATATAAGGACCCTGGTTGTCCCACAATTCCATGCGCCATAGGTAACACTCACATTGATAAGGCACTTCTAGACTTGGGAGCCAGTGTCAACCTCCTTCCTTATTCAGTCTATCAACAGCTAGGTGTAGGAGAACTTAAACCGACAAGATGCACTCTACAATTAGCTGATAGATCCGTGAAAACTCCCAAAGGAGAGGTAGAGGATGTTCTGATCAAGGTTGGAGAGTTCATTTTTCCTGTTGATTTTATTGTCTTGGAAACGTAACCCATTTCCAATCTCAAAAGTCAAATCTCAGTCATTCTAGAAAGACCGTTTTTAGCCACCTCAAATGCTTTGATCAATTGTAGGACGGATCAGATGAAACTATCTTTTGGGAATATGACTGTTGACCTCAATATCTTCAACCTAGGAAGGCAGCCTAGTGACCCATCTGATTAACCCATGGAAGTGAATTCCATTTAGGGAATATCCAGTGAACAACAAGAGGGAGAGTGTGAGTTTGATTCAAGTGCATCTGACTTAATATTTGTGGAGTCTTCTGATGATGAACTAGAGTTAGATCCGCTGGCCAATCATATTTCTACTGTTGGCTGGCAACGAGAACCTTTGGAGATAGAACCCCGAGGCCAGCTTCGCCCATCTGTGGAGGAACCCCCTAAGTTAGAGCTCAAACCTCTACCTGAAAATCTAGAGTATGCCTATTTAGGGGAGAATAAGTCTTTACCAGTCATCATTTCTTTTGACTTAACTACCAGTCAAGAGGAAGCTCTCTTAGATGTTTTAAGAGAGAATAGAGAAGCCATTGGATGGACTATGGCTGATATCAAAGGGATCAGTCCAACCATTGTTCAACACCGAATCCATTTGATAGATGATGCCAAACCTACTAGAGATCCTCAACGTCGGTTAAACCCTGTGATGAAAGAAGCTGTTAGGAAAGACATTCTGAAATGTCTCGATCATGTGATTATTTATCACATTTCTGATAGTTCATGGGTGAGTCTGATCCAAGTTGTTCTAAAGAAATCTGGGATCACTGTGATCCAAAATGAGGCTAATGAGCTGATTCCCACTTGGATCCAAACTGGATGGCTAGTTTGCATTGACTACCGAAAACTCAACTTAGCCACTCGGAAAGATCACATCCCTCTTCCATTCATTGACCAAATGTTAGAGCGCTTAGCAGGACACGAGTTCTATTATTTCCTGGATGGATATTCAGGTTACAATCAAATCCCTATCGCTCCCAAAGATCAGGAGAAAACCACCTTCACTTGCCCGTATGGAACATTTGTATACCGACGCATGCCTTTTGGCCTGTGTAACGCACCAGTCACATTCCAACGCTACATGATCAGTATTTTTTCTAACATGGTAGAGAGATTCCTCGAAATTTTCATGGATGACTTTTCCATTTTTGGTGACACATTTTCCTAATGTTTGCATCATCTTAAACTGGTTCTAGAATGGTGTAGGGAGAAAAATTTGACTCTCAATTGTGAGAAATGTCATTTCATGGTCAAACAAGGTATTGTCTTAGGACATGTAGTTTCCAATAGGGGAATCGAAGTGGACAAATCTAAGGTAGATCTCATTTCCAATCTCCCTCCTCCCAAAACTGTCAAGGATGTCAGATCGTTTCTTGGTCATGCTGGTTTTTACCGACGTTTCATTAAGGATTTTAGCAAAATTGCTAGACCCTTGACCAATCTCTTAGCTAAGGATACATCATTTGTCTTCTCTCCCGAATGTCTCAAAGCTTTTGAATATCTGAAAAAGGAGCTAACCACAGCTCCTATCATTCATGAACCGGACTGGACCTTACCCTTCGAACTGATGTGTGATGCATCTGATTCTGTGATTGGTGTTGTTTTAGGATAACGGTTTGATGAAAAACCACATGTGATCTACTATGCCAGTAGGACTCTGAATGATACCCAACAAAATTACTCTGTTACAGAAATAGAGTTTTTACCTGTAGTCTTTGCCTTGGAAAAATTCAGGTCCTACCTCATCAGTTCCTTAACCAAAGTTTTCACAGATCATACCGCACTAAAGTATCTTTTGAACAAAAAGGATGCTAAAGCACGGCTCATTAGATAGATTCTCCTACTTTAAAAGTTTGACATTCAAATTCTTGACAGAAGAGGAACAGAGAACCCCGTAGCAGATCACCTCTCTCGACTCCCGAATGCACCAACATCAACCGTTCCGATCAATGAGCATTTCCCTGATGAACAACTCCTACAAATCCAATCTGTTCCATGGTTCGCTGACATTGTGAACTACATAGTCATGAACCAGATCCCTTCTCATTGGTCCAAACAGGATAGATCCTATTTTTTCTCCTAAGTAAAATACTTTTACTGGGATGATCCATATCTGTTCAAATACTATCCTGATCAGATCTTTAGGAGGTGTGTTCCAACTGAAGAAACTAGGAGTGTTCTATCCTTTTGTTATGAGCAAGCATGTGGGGGCCACTTTGGCCCAAGAAAAACATCTAAAAAAATTCTTCAATGTGGGCTATATTGGCCCACTCTTTTCAAGGATTCATATGAGTTTTGTAAAACTTGTAACCGCTGTTAGCTTTTAGGGAAAGTCACTAGAAGAAATATGATGCCCTTACAACCCATCTTATTTGTTAAACTTTTTAATTTGTGGGGAATCGATTTCATAGGACCATTTCCAAATTCCTTTGGAAATGTTTACATTCTAGTAGCTATTGAATACATGTCAAAATGGGTTGAGGCGGTAGCTTGCAAAACTAATGACAACAAGGTCGTTGTCAAGTTTTTGAAAGAGAACATTTTTGCACGGTTTGGAGTACCCTGAGCGATCATCAGTGACAACGGTACACATTTCTGTAACCGTTCTTTTGAGGCTTTGATGAGAAAATATTCAATCACACACAAATTGTCAACTCCTTATCACCCCAAACTAGTGAACAAGTAAATGTCACAAACAGGCAGATCAAACAAATCTTAAAAAAAACAATTAATCATAACAGAAAAGATTGGTCTGTAAAATTATGTGATGCTCTGTGGGCATATAGAACAACTTTCAAGGTCAATTTAGGGATGTCACCATACAGACTGGTGTTTGGGAAAGCTTGTCACCTACCAGTGAAGTTGGAGCATCGAGCAATGTGCACGATAAAACAGTTGAATTTTGACTCAGACTCAGCAGATAAGAACAGATTGCTCTAAATAAATGAGTTGGAAGAAATTCGAAATGATGCATACATAAACTAAAAAATTTACAAAGAGAAAACCAAGATTTTTCATGACAAATCAATTTTACGAAAAAATTTCTCTCCAGGACAGAAAGTTTTATTGTACAATTCAAAATTGCATTTTTTTCCTAGAAAATTAAGATCAAGATGGACAGGTCCATTTTTTGTCAAACAAGTTTTTTCGCATGGGGCTGTCGAGATAAAAAAATCCTAAAAATGGTAATATTTTTAAAATAAATGGTCAACGTCTAAAACCATTTTTAGAATTTTCTACGCTAGGAGAGGAAGAGGTGTTGGTTCTTCATGAACCTCATTACCTGTAAAAAAATTTTAAAAAATAAAATAAACTAAAATAAAATAAATAAAAAAATAATTATAATTTTTCTCTCTTATTTGATTTCTTCATCCTCATACTAACAGTAATTACAGATCATTATCATCATTGTTCTAGGTTGATCGAACAAATATAAGTTCTTTAATTCTTATCTGCTTTACTTTGTGTATCAGTGAATTTGCATTGAGGACAATGCAAAATTTAGGTGTGGGGGTGGAAAGTACATATTTTCCTCTTTATTTTATCCTTTTGTTGCATTTTTGACATAATTTTTGTTTAAAAAATATAAAAATATTATCACTTGTCAAATTAATAGAGTTAAGTAATAATTGATCTAATTGATAGATTTTAAATTTTCTAATTCCTAGTTAGTGATATACGCAAGTTCACCTTTTATGATAACTCCAAATAATTTTTTTAAGAAATGATTTTTCAAGTAGTATACTTTACTTAAGCCTTACCTTAGACTTTTAATTAAAAATAATGAAATTTTTGCTTGCTTAACTTAGAGTTGAAAATATTTTTTTCAAGTTATCTTGATTTACACATTTTTTCAGACTATATATACTTACACACATATATATATATATTAAAAAAACTAACCTTATAAAAGAAGAGTGCAAAAAATGGGCACAAAAAAAAACTCTTGAATTTAAGGTGATTCTATCTTATAAAGCCTAAGTTGACTGAGTAATAAAGCCCAAGGAGTATCTCTATACTTAATGACCTAAACCTAATTGGGTTGGGATTCATTTGTCCAAAACTCGTTAAATGGTCACTTAGTAAGCCCGTTAAAATAGAAAACAATCACCAAGAATTAGAGAGTGAAGGAATATATATATATAACACTAACCATTTTTATATATATATTGTTATTTTGTATATATGGTCTTGAAAAACAATTTTTGATCAAGAGACTTAAAAGTTATTTAAAACAAAGAGTTAGCATGTTCTTTTCAAAACTTTTAAATTAAATCTCTAAGATTTGACTTGGTTTTGTATTGCTATAATGAAAAAGATTTTCTAAAAGATTTACATTGGAGTTATATATAAAAACGTTTTCTTGATGATTAACTAGCTTCAATTAGAATGTCTAAATATATCAAAGAAAATTAGTTATTTACTGACTTATTTAACTTGGCAAGTTGACCGAATTTTGTGGGTATATTCACTACAAACCCTCATGGGACTACAACTCATCCACTAGGGTAACCTAGGGGTTTAAAGGCTTGTTGTATGCGCTAAATACAATCACGATTCCTACGAAAGTGAGTTAGGATTTTTTTCTTATTTTCTTTGCTAGAGGACTAACAAAAATTTAGGTGTGGGGGTATTTGATAATCACATTTTATTACAATTTTATACCCTCATTATCTATTTTATATAAATAAATATGTCACTAATAATTGTTTTTATCTTCAAATGCAGGTTAATGAAGAATAAATTCCAAAAATCCCATCTTTCAACAAAGCCCCTTGAGTAAATGAAGAAATGAAGCACAAGAGGAATCAAGAAGCCTATTGGAGAATCAAAATGCCAATTTATCCAAAAGCAAAAGAATCAAGCCATCAAAAGAATCAAGCCATGAAGCCAAATAAATATTTAATAAAGTGTTAAAGCCCAAAATGCCAAGAAAATGTCCAAGGCCCAAGCCCAAGAACAAACACAAGAAGGAAGTTCGGATAGAAATTGGAAAAGAGTTGACATCGATGCCAACATCTATGGGGGCATCGATGCCCATATCGATGTTGGTATTGATACCCCTATCGATGTTGGTATTGATACCATCGTACAGTTAGTTACGAATTAAGGGCTGAAATTTATTATTTTTGGATAAGATTCAAATCCAATGGCTCTCATTCACTGATGTTTACTATAAATAGGGGTAAAGAGTGAGGGGTTAGAGGTGTAAAAAATTTTGTAACTCCATTTGGAGAGGATGGTTACTCTTAATTGAGAAGACCTTTCAAATTTATAAATTTTGTTACAATTAATAAAAAAAAATTCTCCACTTCAAATCTTCTTCTCTTTGTTGGGTGATGATGATGGAGATGAAGAAAAGTTTGAATGTTTGCTTTTCTTTTATTTTTCTCTTTTATTTCTTTTTAGTAATTTTTTTATTATTGCTTATTAGTTAGATTTACATTCATGCTTGTAGTGTAGATTTATTTTTCTTGTTTTTTTTCTTTTTGCACTTTAATTTGTAGAGTAGATTTATTTTCTTGCATTTAATTTTTGTAATTTATTTTGTAGTTTATATTTTAATTCTTTGTTGTTAGATTTATTTCTTGTTCATAGTTTAGATTTTTCTTTTTGTAATTAGTTCTTTTTCTTCTTGCTTTTATTTCTTAAGATGTAAAATTAATTCTTGTAGTAATCTTAGAATTGTATGAAACTAGTCTAGTTTCATTTATATTGTATGAATTATTCTCTTACACTTAAATATTAATGTTTAGAATAATCAACTAGAGAAGTAATTGGTAGAAGAAGAATTTGATAATCTATGCTTATCTTAAATGGTTTGATAGGTTATGCTTATGAATTCTAGGATTATTATCTTGTTATTATTCTTATCATGAATTGTAATTTTAACTTAGATGATAATTTGATAGATTATACTTTTCTTAAATGGTTTGATAGTCTATGCTTAATAAATCTAAATTAAAATATGATAAAAAGAGAATAGTTTGTATTTTATAATTGAGATTAGCTAGTGGATTCAATTCTAGATCTCTCATATCTTTAATTGAATCCTCTATCTTTTGTTTTCTTGATTTTTCTCTTTTTATTCTTGCTTTTCTTTTGTTTTCTTGATTTTTCTCTTTTTATTCTTGCTTTTTATTTTATTCTTTGATTCTTTCTTCTCTCATCTAAAATTCAATTTATTGTCACTTGTATATATTCAAAACAATCACTCATCATATCTCTCTCCATAATCACACTTATTCTTTAATCCTATTTTTGTCATGCACAAAACATAAGAACCAATTCTAATAATCTCTTAAAATCACCTTCCTCGTGGGATCGATACTTTTATACTATAACTTGACACGGTTGTTTACTTGCAACATTTTTGGTACATGTTTATGCCTCATAAATTCCCTTGTCGCCGATCTTGCCGTACTAGAGCGTGAATCCTAAGAGTTAGGGGAGAGGAGGACTAGAGGTGTTTCCTCTTTTGTTGCTACTCAGTTGGAATCTGAGTTGAAGCAGTGGCATGACTCCAGAGCATCCATTGGATGTGATCTTCAGTCACGGGAGAGCTCTGTTACGAAGATGAAGGCTAATCTCTTGAGGAAGGACAAGGCTAAGGCTGAATTACTTAGCTCTTTAGCTTCGGCCGACGAGGAGATAGCTAAACTCAAGAAGGCCTTGAAGTACGCTAAAGAATCTCGTGCTATTCTTGAGGACGACTTAGCTAATGCTAAAGACTCTCGAAGACAAACATTAGAGAAGCTAGAGCCTGCAGAAGAGAAGTTGGCTAAGTTGAGGAGCGCAGCCGCGAAGACACTAGATACATCTAAAGATTCCATTCGGGCTGAGTTGTAGGGTAAATTCGAGCGGAGCTTTGCTGACGATCTCTCTATATTGGAACACCGGATCCTCAGTCACGGATTGTATTTGGAGCGATAGTTTCCACTTTTGTATTTTCATTTTGACTTTATTAATGAAACAAAGTCTTTTACTTAGCACACTCTTCTCTTTATTATGATCATTATCAAGTCCAAGCTCACATCTGTTAAACTGATTGGCCCTGAAGTGTAATTTTGTGTTGCTCTTCATCTGTCATCCCGGTCGCCAGGGCAATTCTCAAGGATGGGATCTGAATTTCTAAGGGTAATATAGCTTCACAACTATATACCAAAGAAAACAGAGTGCTTTCATTGGGGTCCTCACCATTGTGCGGTAAGCCCATAAACATTCACTGAGCTTTTTGTCCTAATCACATTGACTCTTGGAGACAAACTTTTTGAGAAGTTTCACGATGATTTTATTAAAAGCTTCAGCAAGGCCATTAGCTGGTGGATAATATGCCCTTGATGCGACGTTTTGAATTCTAAACTTATTGCAGAACCTCTAGAACCCATGACTAACAAATTGCATTTTGTTGTCGTGGACTATCCGTCTTGGTACACCAAAATGGTAGATAATGTGATGCTTGATAAACTTGATCACGTTTGAAGTCTTGACTTCCTTCAAAGGAATAACTTCTGCCCACTTAAAGAAGTAATCGGTTATTGCTAAGATAAACTGATGTCCTTTGGATGTTGGTGGAGCGATGGGTCCAACAATATCCATCTCCCATATCTCAAATGGCCAAGATGAAGATGTTGGATACAGATTTCCTGGTGCTTGATGAATGAAGTCACCATGGATTTGGCATGCATGACATCGTTTAGCACAATCAACAGTGTCTGCGAATATCTTTGGTCAATAGTAGCCAATTCTTTGGAGTCGATCCCCTAATTTGGCTCCATGCTGGTAAGCACCGCACATTCTATTATGAGCTTCTTTAAGAGCCTCCTGCACTTCTTTTCTGGAAAGGCAGCAAAGTAAGACTCCATCATGCGACCTTCGGTACAAGGTTTAAGAAACTGCATCATAATAGAATCGAAGGGCCTTCCGTTTGATGGTGGCCACTTCTTTAGAATCATCGGGCAGCATCTCATACAAGACATAGTCAATATACGGGAACCGCCAATCCCTTGGTTCGAGCTTAATTAAAGTTGCACATACAATCTCCGCTATTGTCTCACTTGAGCAGTCTTCTAATGGAAATTTGGGGTGATACAAGTCACGGCCCATAATGAATATTGTTATTTCAGCCTTTGGCGGCAATGCCAATGAAGTTGCCAGTGAGACTAAAGTATCTGCATAGGCGTTCTGGACTCGCAGAATGTATTCGATAAAGAAGCATTCGAACTTTTGGGCTAACTCTAATGTTGCGAAATGGTATGGAACTAAATCCTCATTACACACTTTGTATTCTCCCTGGACTTGATTCATAATAAGCTGGGAATCACCGTTAGCCTCGAGATGTCGAATGTTGAGCTCCTCGGCCAACTGCATCCCTAGTAGCAGAGCGTTGTACTCTACTATATTGTTAGTGCAGGGCTTGATTAAGGAGAAACCTCTTAAGATCACATGACCACTTAGGGATACGAGTACTACCCCCACACCAGTGGTGATTCCTCCGTTTGGGTTCTCCCTAGACGCACCATCAAAGAATAATTCCATATTTGCATGACCTCTTGGGTTACGCAAGCTTCGGCAACTTCATCTGGTAAGTCCTCATATAATTTGGAAGAATTAGATATTGGATGATCAGCTAAGAAATCCGCCAGAGTTTGGCCTTTAACAGCCTTTTGAGGCATGAATTGCATGGAATATTACTATAAGAGTATCACCCATTTTGCTAGACGGTAATTCAGTGAAGAGGGTTTCGTCATGAGCACCCTCAAAGGATTTATCTTGGAGATAACATGAATTAATTGTCCGACCAAATAGTGTCGCATCTTCTTAACAGCAAACACTAATGCAAGGCACTCTTTTTCTACCGGATTGTACCGTTGTTCGGCTCCAATCATGGTTCTACTGTGGTAGTAGATTACTTGCTCATGTCCTTAGTTATTGTTCTGGGCTAATAAAACTCCAAGAGAATGATCCATGATTCTCACATATAACATGAATGATTTTCTTGATACTGGGGCTATAAGGACGGGTGGTTGAGTGAGGTATCACTTGATCTCCACAAACGCCTTTTTGGCAGTCTTCATCCTAAACAAATGAGACTAATTTCTTCATCAACTTGGTGAAGGGTTGGCAACGTCTCGAGAGATTTGATATGAATCTCCGGATGTAAGCCAATCTGCCTTGTAAGCCTCTGAGCTCTTTGATGTTTCTCGGAGGTCGCATTTCTTGGATGGCACAAACCTTTTCCGGGTCGAGGGAGATCCCTTTAGATGTGACTATGAATCCCAGGAATTTACCACTAGCTACCCCCAAGAACGATTTAGTCGGGTTCATCTTCAGTTGATGTGCTCGCATAATATCAAACATCATTTTCAGATCTGCAAGATCATCGCCTTTGTTTTGGCTCTTCACTGCAATATCATTCACATAGCCTTCAATATTCTTACGTAGATGTTCATGGAAGATTATATTCATTACACGTTAATAGGTTGCGCCGGCGTTCTTCAATCCAAAGGGCATCACTGCGTAGCAATACACTTCTAATGGTGTTTTGAAAGCGGTTTGCTTTTCGTCTTCAGGGTGTATTTTGATTTGGTTATACCCTGAAAACCCGTCCATAAAGAACATTCTCTCATACCCACAAGTATTGTCGATCATGACATCTGTGATGGGGAATGAAAATTCGTCTTTCGGACATGCAGCGTTTAGGTCATGAAAGTCGATGCAAATTCGGACCTTTCCATTTTTTTGCACACATGAACTATGTTAGCCACCCGTTAGGATGTTTATCTCTTTGATAAAGCCCGAGTCGATAAGCTTTTTGACTTCTGACTCAATCGCCTCCATGATCTCTGGACGGAATTGACATTGTTGTTGTTTAACAGGCTTCACATCCGGATTGATGTTAAGACGATGCATGGCTATTTTAGGATCAAGACCAGACATGTCTTTATAATTCCAAGCGAAGACATCTATATATTCTCTGATGAGAGATATGAGGTCTTTTTTCTTGGATGGTGATAATTTCTCGCTTATGAAGATTGGCTTGGGATTGATTTCATCCCTCATGTTGACTTGGATTACCTTATCTTTTGTGTGCGGCTCACATTGTTTGAAGCACATGTCCCATAAAATGTTAAGGCATTTGATCCAAGGGTCGTTGATTGACTCAATCAACTTCTCACCATCCTCTTCTACATCTTTATATGGATGACTAGCCGAAGTCATGTTCACAGACATGTTTTTAAAGAATGTTCCAATGCCCACATCAGATTCCTACGATGATGTTCCGGATGAATGGTCTTACCATAAACAATCATCGGCTTCATTTTTTGAAAGGGGAGGAGTTGAAACATAACTTAACCCTCTTCCAGTTTTATGATAATAATCACGAGGTTTTCCTTCTGGAGTGAAAGATTGAATTGGTGTTCATCTTCCTTTCCCGAAGTTTAAACCTTCATGTTTGTCAAAGTCATAACCCATTCTTCTCATTAGATGGATGGAATTAGGTTTATGATAATAAAATTGTGGGATCCCATGATCTTTATCTAAACTTTCCCACTTGGGTAACTCAGAGTTGACTTTACCAAAATAGATTAGCTTTTGACCTTTCTTTTTAGATGAGACCATGAAAAAGGTTTTCTGCACATCTTCCATCTCTTCGAATGTAGCGAAGGATGATTTGAGCGGTAAATCAAGTGATGTCTCGGCATATAATGTGTGCCATGGATCTATACTTGCATCTGTATATGTCTCTGTTTTCTCACATTCAGAGGACACATTAGACAAGTAAGCCAAATTGAAATCTTCATTAATGTACCACTTTCCATCACTCGGTACATCATTATTATTGAGCTTATTTTGGATCATTACATTCAAATCTAACTCCAATGGACACTCTTCCTTGGGCTTGGGCTCGATGTCCTCTTCATTGCCACTACCGACAGCTTCCTTCAGTTGCTCTGGCTCTTGGGAGTCCAGATAAAAGACTGAGTCGGTATGAAAATTCTTCAAACCTCTAAAAGGTTACTTCTCTGCGATCAGGGTTTTGACTTCTCCTTTATCATTAGCATATTTTATTACCTGATCAAGGGTAAACGGGACGATATGGTTCGTATGAATCCAGGGTCGTCCTAACAATAGATTGTAGGATGTGTCCGCATCTATGATGTAACAAGTTTCCTCTGATTTGAGATCTCCTATTTGGCACCTGAATTTGATTTTGCCGAAGGGTTGGGTGCTGTTAGCGTTGAAGCCAAAGATGGTAGTCTGGGTAGAACTCAATTGATGCAAAGGAATCCCAAGGACTTGCATAACTTTGTACGACATAATGCTGAGTGCAGAGCCCAGATCGACTTGAACACGACTGATCTCAGAGGACCCAATATACCCTGTGTAATACAGTGGTCTATCATACATGTGTTTGATTTGCATATCTTCTTGTGTGAATGATATGCATGGCAAACTTCTCGCAGCTTGTAAGCATTGTGCGACGGATTGTTCTTTTGTAGCTTCTGGGACTGCAGGAACTTGTGTTATAAAGCTCTTTGTGTCCATTAAAGCTTCAATCAGGGCCTCCCTCGTGGTCTTGGACAGTCGCAAGAGCTCATATAGGGTAATCCTGGCTGGAATATTGGCCAACTATGTCATAACATTGAAATAGAAGGGAGCGTTTGATCCTTCAGCTCCTTGAAGAAGATTTTTATTATAGCGGAGTTCTTTCTGTTTCCCTTAGTCTGTAGGTTTCTTAGGGGCAGAACCCCCAACTTCTTCAGCCTATTCTTCTGCTCCTTGACTGACTTGATCATACTTTTTCAAGTATGTCTTTCCTGATCTAGTACTTGGATTAGCTTCTT